AAAGACCCTTTCAGGATTTTACTGATGACTGAGGGCAGACTAATGGGGCTGTAAACATCTGGGTTTCCTTTACTGTTCTCTCCCTATTTACATCCTAATATATTTTCTGTGCTTCTAACCTCCTCTTATTTCTTCCTTCACGTTAATCCTTACTCCTAAATATTACAGTCGGATTGAAATCACCCAACAGCTTTTCACAATGTTTGAATGTATTTCTCACCCCATTGCTGGTTCCATGATGCAGTAGCCGGCGACCTTGTCTGCACATTTACAATTCTGTGATGGATCATCATGTCTCATCTGAAAATTGTGTCCCATTTCATGTGCAATGGTTGAAGCAGCAACCAAGTGGCTGGGCCGGTTGTCCTGAGAGGAAAGAGGAAAAATGAAGACTGTAAAGATTTTATTAGCTTCAACGAAAAGGTCCATAAAGTTGCCCAAAACATGATTAGCCTGAGGATTGGAATATTTTTAGAATTCTACAAATGAGGACTAATAAATTAAGCCAGGAAAATATAATGAGATTAAGTGAGGGAGAAATTTACAAAACAGACTGAAAATATGTAAAATGGAAGAGATGAGCAAAGTGGCCTTTGATAAAAGTGGGGAAAAGGGAACTTATAATGGGAAATAGAGGAAACAATTTAAATATTTTCTGTGTCATCATGGAGTTAAATTCTAAAATCCTATAATAAGTAATGCAGAATCTAGGGAGTAGTGGAAACAAAGCTCTTGCCTTTGCACCGTTGGAAGTTGGACCCATCTTTAAAGTTGTGTTCAGTCAATATTGTGTTCAGTCAACCTGCATCCACCTATCGCCACCCCACCTACCTTTCCCCAGCCCCACCCATCCTCCATCCCGCCTCTTTGACCTGACATAACCAGTTCATCTTCTCTCCCACCTATCCACCCCACCATCCCACTGACCAGTCCCCACCACTCCCTACCTGCACTCACCTATTACCATCCCATCTGCCTTCCACAGCCCCACCCCTCCTCCCGCTATTTATTTTCCAGCTCCCTTCCCCCTCCCCAGTTTAGAAGAAGCGTCCCAATCCAAAATGTCAACTTTCCTGCTCCTCTAATGCTGCCTGACCTGCTGTGTTCCTCCAGTTCAACACTGTGTTCACGGTGAACTACCTTCAGTTAATATTCTGTGTTTTGTATTTCTTGTGTTGCATGAAATCTCAGTGAACAATGTTACAATAAACCAAAGATTTGTTGGGTGCCATGCTTCTCGATCAGGAATGCAATGCTTTTGAAAATAAGAAGTTTTGTATAAGAATGGAAATCTAACCTTCATATCGATATACACAAGGGGACAATAGTCTACTTGGCATCATGAGTAACTGCTCATGGTTACTGGCCAAGAGGGTTTAGACAGATGATTGACTTGGCAGAGATGTCCAGACCACAATATAATAAATATCAATACAGAGGATTGGGGAAAGAAGAAGAGTGAGGGAACAGGGGAAATAAGCTGTAACTTCTTAGGAGATCCCATATACACTGATTAACAAGGTCAGTCAAGTGGACCTCATAGAATATGAGTTCCCTGATTGTGGCTGTTAATCTGGTCCAATCAGTGAACCCTGGCTGAAAGATATAAACAGGAGTGTCAGCGATTCTAATCACTCTAAGGGCTGGCTCTGAGGAAACCAGGCCAGTGTCAACTACTCTGCACATCTAAATAAATGGTGACTTGGTAACAGGGTACCGGCCTCTGTGGAGTTATTTCAGTGGCAGCTGAAGAAGCATTTCTGGCATCATGCGATTATTTGAGAAGCTTGACTAGTTTGATCTTGCCGTCGAATATTGAACTCAGTTTGTGGAAAGAATGTGTTACTTTTTCCTGGCAGTTGACATTAGGGCAGATGAAAAGCAATGAATCATTCTCCTGACAGGGAGTGGACCGGCAGGTTTTTTGGTTATTGGGTGCCTAATGTTTCCTGAGGCACTAGATACTAAAACTTTTGAAGAGTTGCTGGACTTAGTTAAAGAATATTATGATCCCAAACCTCCTCTACTTCAGAGATACTCTTGGTTTTGTTTGGCTATTCGAGAACCAGAGGAATCCATGTCGGGATTTTTGATGAAGTTGAGATGACTGGCAGAGGGATGTGACTTTGGCTGAACCTTTAATGAGATGCTCAGAGACTGTTGGTATGTGGGATTAATGACATATCCATGCAAAAGCACCTTCTAGCTGAAGCCCAACTGGACTCAAACAGGCACTACAACTGGCTTTGTCATTAGAAAATGCAGTAAATAGAGCATTTATGTTACAGGGTCTGCCGATGGAAGTGGACACCCTCATCTAGCATTTGTCTGAAGGCAATTGCGTAGCCTCACTCAGGACATATCCTAAACAGAGGGACCCCAGGTCAGCCCATAGCAAAATCCCAAAACAAAGCCAACCCTCAGGCTAGCCATTGTACTTTCTGCTGCAATGTGGACTTGAGACAACAAAAGGGTCCCACTAGGCCTGAACTGAGTAAGAGAACTAATAGGCCGGTATCCAGGAGAGTGCACACCCTGGAAAGCCCACCTTCATCTGTTTTGGAACAGTTAAATTGTTTAGCAACATCCAAATCAGAACTAATCAAAATGAACATCTGATTAAATGGTCACCCAGTTATAATGGATGTTGATAACAGCGCAGCTGATTACAGTGATTGCAGAACCAGTCTTTAACAAAATTTGCTCTGGGCTGCAACCGTTAAGTTTGCACAAGACCTCGGCTAGACTGAGAGCCTATACTGGGTAGCCTTGACAGTTTAAAGGTACAAATTCAGGCCTGTTATGCAAAGCATCTGGTTTCATTACCACTGAGTGCCGTAAAAGCCTCTGGCCCAAGCCTGATGGGGCAAAATTGGTTAAGAAAGATTCATCTTGATTGGCTCAACATTTTTTGATGAGAAAATGGCTGCCTGAGTGAGTCATAATTAAATGCCCAGAAATTTTTCAGAAGTTCTGGGAACCATCAAAGGAGCCAAGGCCACCTTGCATATTGAGCAGAAAACAATTGCATGATTCTGCAAGGATTGCCTAATGCCATACAGGCAAAAGTAGAAGCAAGAATCAGGATGCTGGATCACCATCAGACCAGTACAGTTTGTGGAATTGGCAGCACTGGTCATACCGATTGTGAAGCCCCACATTTGAGTGGGAATTTTAAATAAATGGTAAACCATTTATCTCAGCTGATAAATACCTTGCATTGAGGACTTTTACAGAAAACTAGTGGCTGAGCTCCTTCACGATATGTCCATGCGTACCTGCAGTTGTGGTTAGATGAGAAAACACAGAAGTATGCTACATTTAACACCCATAATGGTTTGTACCAATGTACAAGACTGTCATTTGGGGTATTGAAGGCCTGTGCTATCTTCCAGTAGATGATGGAGAACATCTGACAAGGTCTACCGAGGTCATCATTTCTCTGGATGACATGCTAATAACTGGGAAGACCAGTAAAGAGCATTTGGAGAACTTAAACATAGTCCTTAGATGTGGTGGCATGCCTTAAAAGGGAGAAATGTGTGTTCCATGCACCCCAAGTGACCTACTTGGGCTGCAGAATCAATGAGACTGAGTGACACCCGTTGGAATGTAAAGTGAAGGCAATCAAAGGTGCCCTGGCTCCCACACTGTACCGGAGCTTAGGTCTTTTGGATTGTGAATTATTATGAAGGATCATACGTAACCTGGAGTCCCTCCTGGCACCCTTAACATCTGCTACTGAACAAGGGTCTTGTAGCCAAGGTGTATCCTTTAGGGAAATGAAGAAGCAGCTACTGTTGTCCAAGATGTTGGCACATTGTGATCTCAAGTGAGATCTGATGCTGACATTCAATGCCTCCCCATACGGTGCTGGGGTAGTCGTTGCTCACAATAAAGAGAAATGCCCAACAGTGTATGCTTTCTCGACTTTGTTTGATGCAGAGCACTAATACGCAGGTACTCCTGACTCCTCAAATCCTGTCCACAATCGACAAGGCACAAGTCAGGAGTGTGATGGAATACTCCCCACTTGCCTGGATGAGTGCAGCCCCAACAACACTCAAGAAGCTTGACACCATCCAGGACAAAGCAGCCCACTTGATTGCCACCACATTCACAAGCATCAACTCCCTCCACCGACGATGCTTAGTAGCAGCAGTGTGTACTATCTACAAGATACACTGCAGAAATTCACCAAAGATCCTCAGACAGCACCTTCCAAACCTGCAACCACTTCCAACTAGAAGGACAAGGGCATCAGACATATGGGAAAACCACTACCTTCAAGTTCCCCTCCAAGCCACTCACCATCCTGACTTGGAAATATATCGCTGTTCCTTCACTGTCACTGAGTCAAAATCATGGAATTCTCTCCCTATCAACATTGTGGGTCAACCCACAGCAGGTGGACTTCAGTAGTTCAAGAAGGCAGCTCACTACTACCTTTTCAAGGGCAACTAGGGATGGGCAAGAAATGCTGGCCAGCCAGCAATGCCCACATCCCACAAACGAATAGAAAAAAAAATGCCCAGATAGAGAAGGAAGGTTTTATGATCATCTTTCGTGTGAGAAAGTTCAACCAATACCTTTACGGATGTAAATTTGTGATAGTAATGGACTACCAACCCCTGCTAGGGCTATTGAAAGAGAACAAGGCCGTATCACCCATAGCTTCAGGTTGAATTCAGCGGTGGGCTTTCATTCTAAGTGCGTACAATTTCAAGATGGAATACTGTCCAGGGAGGCCCAGTTACAAATGCAGATGCCTTGACCTGCCTCCCACTCATAGATACACCACTGAAAGAGTCCATTCTGTTTTTAAAATTTCTAGCCACACTTCCGGTCACCACTGACAATATCAGACTGTGGATGCAAAAAGATCCTGTCTGGCAAAATTATACCACATTGATTTATTGTTGTCACATGTACTGAGGTACATTGAAAAGTGTTGTTTTGCGTGCTACACAGGAAGATCATACCATCAGGGTGGCAGGACAGAGTGCAGAATGCAGTGTTACAGTCGCAGAGAAATTGCAGAGAGAGAGAGAGGGAGAGAGAGATCCGAATTTATATCTCAGAGGCCCATTTGAAAGACTGGTACAAGTGGGGAAGAAGCTGTTCTTAAATCTATTTGGATGTGTATTCAAAGTTTTAGATGTTCTGCCTGGTGGAAGAGAGTATAACTACGGTGGGAGGGCACTTTGATTATGTTAGTTACTTTCCCGAGGCAGCGGGAAGTATGGATGGAGTCATTGGATGGTAGGCTGGTTTGTGTGATGGACTGGGCTATGTTCACAACTCTCTGTAATTTATTGCGATGCCAAACCACACTGAGATGAATCCAGATAGGATGCTTTCTATGG